TCTCATCATTCTCTTCTTCTCTCAGGTAAAGTGGTCCAGAGTTCACATGGACATTGCGGACATTGGCTTTCACAGCAGTATCTCGACATTCCTTCTCAAACCTTTTCCAGGGGCCTCTGTTTAGGGCCTGAGGCTGAGGTACAATGTTTCTCATCAAGTACGTGTCATGATAGGCTTCCTGAGACCACCTGTGATTGGCAGCTGCAGCGAGATGACCTTGATCATAGTCCTTGTTAGATAATGTCTCTCCAAAGTTCATGTATTTTGAACTGATTTGATCATTTTCAGCAGTTTGGTTACTTTTAGTTATAATACTTTTGTTCAGTATCTCATACACCCATTCAGCATTCTTCGTTTCATTGTTGTATGACAGGACATACGATTTTCTTTTCCTTAGGTCAGTACAACCTGAAGGAAATCCATCGATAAATTTGTAGGGAGAGCTGACCCTTTCATTTTCTTCTTTAGATTCTGATTCATTGCCAGACATTAGAGAGAATGGGATGCGTATGTAGGTGCATGATTCTTTGAGTTTTGATGGTGATCTGAAAGGATAGCATTTAGATTCTCCATCTGGCTGTTTAGATTCCGGATCATTGCCATACATTTTTGTCTGTGTGTAGTCGGTTGTTGTTTTTTTTATCTTTGATGCTGTGTGATCACCCAACCCTGAATACCTCTGGACTAATTGTGTTCTCTTTAACTCCTGTAATATTTTCTTGAGGCAACAGAGCGATGTAAAGGAACAAAATCACTCTTGACTCAGTCTGGTTATATTTCTTCTTCAAGACCTTCAATAAAGGATATTCTCTTCTTCCTGGATAAAATAATGTTGGAAAGAAATGTCAAAATTCTCCTTAATTCAATACTTATTCTAACTCATTAAACCGAAACAGAAAGATTTACTGAAATCAAGAGTTTGCTGTGACCTGTCAGGAAAACAGGAACTTCTGCAGCTCTGATTTTACCTCACTTTGTTCTATAACAAACACACACAGGTGAAAAATTATATATATACAAAAAAATTATAACATTCACTTCAAACAAACCAACTTCAAGAGTTTTTTTTAAAGACCAATATGACCATGCTATGTACTATTTACCAAGTCACAAGGCATGTGGAAACAAACAGTATATACAAATGTGAATTGATAAATTATTATAAAATGACAATAAAATCATTTGTATATATTTTAGATATATTTATAAAATCCATTAAAGTTCCACAAGTAGTGCAGGGTTATTTTTCATATTCTTGTAGTTTCACCTCACCAATGCTTTACACTGTATTGCATTTTATTTGTTTTTATTTTTGTATTATTTATTTTATATTGAACATTTTTATATTACTACATCTGGTTTTGGAATCCAAAACATGTTAACAGGCATTACATTTGAACTGTGTGCTTGTAGCATAGCATAAATTATCCAATCCTAAACAATATTCCATGCAAAACTGTTAAGCAATTTATTTACTATATATAACTTAGATTAAGGCAATAGTTTTGATATGTAACAGAAGTAAATTAGAATCCTTACCTTGTCTGTCCTCTTGCAGAAATACACACAAAATCTTGCAAACTTCAGTCTAAAGAACAGGGTCAGATAAGCGATCCAGAGAAATCTGTGGAATTAATTGTAGCTGTCTTAGAGAAATATCAGTGGAGTCACCATCACAGTTTTCCGGTCTGTGCTCCAGTAGCTGAGCTAAACCTGTTTATACGGACCCAATGGCAATTTCAGGACACATCTTGCTGTTCTGTTAAAGTGCCCTGTTCATTTTGCTGTCACTATAAAACATTGAGTAAATTTAAACATTGTATTACAGGTTTCTACTGGAAATGAAAAATGATGTGCCCTCCAATATTACTGTTTTATTGCATTAAACCAAGTCACATATTAGAACATTCCTAATCCACCTATAGCCTGCTGAGACAGAAAACTGACCTAAAACAGTCTGTCTAACCAAGACTCAGCTCTGCTCTGGGAGCGTTCCAGTAGAACTTACATTCCCAGAATGACCCGTGAGTCAAAAATGATTAGTTGGGTTTTATTAAAAGAGAATTAACAAAATAAATGTTAAAAAAGTCAGACCTGAGGATATCTGGATTCCAAACAGCAAGCTTAGTTTCACTCTTAGTTTCACCACAGAGTCTCGTTTCCTTGAATTCCTTTGCTGTGTTCTTTTGCCACTGCATTGTGGGCTTAAATAAGTGCACTCCTGTTATGTAAGATGCATGTCAACCAATCAGAAAATATTTTTATTTTGGAGATATTGGTGCTTTCTCCAGTAAATCACATGAGTTTCAGGAGGGGGGAGGGGGAGGGTGTCTGGACTCGTGTCAATGGAAATGCATGAGAATCAGTGATTTGAATAAAATGTTTCTAACTTTAGTCCAAACACATCTGTCTTTCTTCATCAAAACACTTAAGCGTGTGATTAGTTTCTGTGATTAGAGACGTGCAGGACTGGGAATGTTACTTTTAAAATGTTTCCCTACAGATTACAAAATATATGCTTTAAAATGTAGTTTTGTATTTCAAAAGTAGCATTGTATTTCATTAGATTACACAAGTTCTAACTACTTTATAATACTTAGGAATACTAATAAAGTGTGTAGAACAAAGGGACCACCAAACATATGTCACATACTCACGCCCCGAAATCCCAGCAGGCACAAAATGTCATAAAACGATATTTGGTTAGATTTAGGTTGCGACGTCGGGTGACCAAAATTCAATGTCAATCCAACGTCTAATAACAACGTTAATTTGACGTCCAATACCGACATCAGCTGACATTGATATTTTGTTGTTTTAAGGTTGTGTTGCAAATTAACCAAAATCCAACGTTGAGCCAACGTCTCAAACCAACGTCAATTTGACATCAAATACTGATATATCATAGTCCGGTATGGCAAACAAAACCCAACGTCATAATGGAAACGTCCACACAATGTCTAATTCAGCGAGGTTAAGTTAGTTTTGTTTTCGATATTCCTGACATATTCAGCAATTAACGACAATAACTCCAAAACAACTGGCCCTAAAAAAATCTAAAGAGTGTAACCGCCAAAAAGGGAAAAGCTGGGACATGACGTGACCCTTCGGCAGCAATGCACACATAGTCCTTCGCTCTGCTCACTTTGTCAGAAATTGTATATATCCTGTCAGTAAATTTTGAACCAATCTTTATTTAGCTCACTATGAGTACCCCAGCAGTCAAGGACAGCCGGAAAAGAGAGAGTGAACAATCGCTAATAAAGAAAAAATTTAAAGATTCCACCATCTCCAGAGAAGATCTCGGCGCTGCTATAGCTAACAGTATCAAGCTAGCGCTTAAAGAGCAACAAAGTACACTTGATTCGGTAGTGGCTTCGACTGTAAGAGAAGCGATAGACTCTGTACTGACCCCAGCACTCCGTGATCTACATTTGGATATACAAATGACCAACGATTCCGTAAAAGAGCTAAAAGCAGAAGTTGAAAAGCTAACCATCGCGGCGAAACAGACACGTGACCGGGTCAATTCCGTTCAAGCAGCCATACGTGAGGATAGGAGGACGGTTTCAAACTTAAGAAATCAGCTGGAGCAACTCACCGAAAAAATGACGGACATTGACGATAGGAGCAGTAGAAATAACGTACGACTGGTGGGGTTGCCGGAGGGAGCGGAGGGCTCCGATGCAGCGGGCTTCCTCAGAGCTAATCTTTCCAAGTGGATCCCTTCACTGAAAGGCCGGGACAATGTTTCATGTCACTGGCAGTATGGCATTGCTTTTGTCTCTCTTCAAGCAGACATAATCTTGGCATTGCGAGCACACAATGCATGTTCTGAATATCGTATCATTGAATGTGAATGGCCTAAATTCTCCTATTAAGTGTATCCGGATATTAGAATATCTGCACCGTAAATCGATTTCATATGCCCTGATACAAGAGTCTCATTAAAAACAATGCGATGTGGCACAAAACAAGTATTACAAACTGGCAGCCTTCTCTTGTGCTCCTAATAAAACTAAGGGGTGCGTATCTTAGTCGATAAGAAGTTACATTTAACTATTGAACATACCGGGAATGATGATGAAGGTTGATTTGTTTTTATACGCTGTAAAATACATAATGACAGGTTAGCAATGGTCTCCATTTACTGCCCGAATGAGGTAGATGGTGCATTTTTCACAAATATTTCTAATATATTACTTGAGCAGATTGATTGTCCTTTAGTGATGTGTGGTGATTTTAAATACTGTTTTAAATCATGCACTGGATAAATACAGCTAACCCATCCTCTAAGTTATTGAATAAATATATCACTGAACTTAATGTAATCGATCTTTGGAGAATCCAGAATACTACATCTAAGGACTTCACTTTTTTATTCTAAAAAGGGTGGGACGTCTGATGGAAGGATCTTTCGGATTTTGTAACAACACACCCTTATGGCACAACTTTAATTTTCTGTGTTGAAGTCGGCCATTTGTCCAGCCCTCTTGGTCTACATTGGGCAGAGACACATGCGGTGACTTGTATGATAACCAGGGAGTCTGCTCATTTCAAGAACTAGGAACTGGGTTTTGTTTGCCAGCATCATCATGTTTAGTCTTTTTTCAATTATGTCCTGCTCTCAAGGTCTATGGAGTTCCCTGGGCATTCCCTATTTCCTTTCATCCTGTGTGGGATTGGATCGCACCACCCTCTGGTCGGCCATCTGTTTCTTTCGTATATAGTGAACTTGGTGATCACACTGCAAGGTCTCTTTCTATTGAATCTATCTGGAATCGTGAATTAACAGATTTTGATTTGTCGGTCGACTGGGGGAGGGTGTGGTCTAATCTAATCTTAACTTCTAAAACTGCTCATCGTCCTATCCATTTCAAAGTCATCCATAGAGCGTACATAACTCCTTGCAGGAGGTTTGAAATGAAACTGCAATCGACCTATAACTGTCATATCTGTGGCACTGTATCAGCAGGTACTTTTCTCCACATGTTTTGGGAAGTTCCAATTGTTGTCAATCTATGGACTCATGTGAATTCCGTTTTGTTCCTTTTACTACAAATTGATATTGAAGTTGTTGATGGTGTGTCTGTTGTTCCCCCTTCCCTGTTGTTTGTTTGAGTGGATGTTGTTTTGTTGATTTAAAAAATAAAAAGTTGATCACAAAAAAAAAGGGAAAGGCTGATCATGTTTCACAGCCTTCTTTTTCATTATTTTCGCTCAATATAATAAGCACTGCCCTGCACAAGCTGAGATGGTCCACACTGCAGAACACCAGATCCAGGGGGTGTGGTCTCCACCCCTAAACCTACCAATCTCCACCCCCTAGATGTGGATCCAACCACGTCCCCTGGATCTTGTGTTCTGCAGTGAGGGGCTACTGGCACAAGCCGTCGCAATGTGCATTTAAGCCGGGCTCACACTACAGGATTTTTGGCTGGATTTTGCTGTTGCGGACAGATTTCCACAGTCTGCGACAAAAACCCCGGATCGTGACCAAATCGGTGCTTGTTGCGGTTGCCGAAGCTCGTTAAGTATGAGCAGGGGGCTGTTTCATAAAAGACGCTAAGAAAAGCGGGGATTAAAGTCCAAAACCTGACTTGAAATAACCTAACAAATCAATCAAGACTAAAGCGGTTCCATAAACGACAATTTAAGTTCACGCAATCTCACTAATTCGATCCAGGTTCAATGAGTCCAGATCATTTGATGTGCACGCTTATTCTTAAACAGCCCTTAATGTCGATCATGGATCAAATCGATCCACCATGGCAAACAGCGAATATTTGTACTGTTTAAAGCATTTGAGACATTGTGTTTTCCTTAGTGCATAACTGACATGTCACAGGTATATTTTTCATCAGTAAATGTTAGAAAGGCATGCAAATATATCCATTTTGCTGTCAGGAGTGAGCGAGGCTTCACGAGTGAACGAGCGCTGCTGCGTGCATGCGAGCTTAACAGACGGAACGCAATAGAATAATAGCGCAATAATTCTGAATAAAATATGCATTCTGCTAAAATATTTTTTGTTGGACATTAAATGTGACACAAGTAGAATTTTTATCCTACATGTAAGTGTATTTGTATCATAGCAGTAACTGTAAATCAAATGTAAGCTGTCTATTACTGCCCTACTATCTCAAATGAGTTAAATGTGTTCCTCTTATCAGTTAAAATGTAGTCTGATTTTCATTATTTATTTTCATTTTTAATTCAGTGGCTTTAACTTTTAATTTAGTGTTTTAAATGCTTTAAAAATTGATTTTAGATTGTAATGTTTTAATGTTCTGCTAATAACCATAAAA